GGGTTTGGAGCATAATGTGACCCCAGGATTTCCATAATGTCGCTGTAAGATTTGGTCTCTGGCTTAACAAGGAACAGCAAACTGCGTAGCAGAGAGTAGGTCTTAGCTACTTAAATATATTGGCACCTTCTTCTCTTCCTTAATGTCATTTGCAATAACAAAAAATTCAAAAAGCTCAGTATATACGTACCATTGCTCTGTAGTCTCCTCAAGAAGTACCAGTGGTCCTGTAAGTGTAGCCATGGCTGCTGCAACTCCCTTCTTTCTTTCTTTTCTTTTTTTTTCTTCAGCCTCTGGGCACCACTGATCTTAGTTTCAGTTTGCACAGTGTAGCCGTCAGTTCTTACCCCCACCTTCCAGAACAGCAAAAAAAAGTTTGTTTTCTTGCATTGACTTCTACTTCTTTTGTTGCTGGAGGCAGCACAGGTATCCTATCCTCATCACCACTTGTTATGTCGGGTGGGGTTCCACAGTATAGGAAAAAATCAGTGGAACTACAGAGAGCTTGAGGAGTTGCAAGTGTCCATTTTATTGTGTAACACAAAACTAACTAGAACAAGCCCAAACCAGCTAGGCTGACCCTAGTGACCTAATTCAGTTACTGTAACAACAAGATCTATATCTACAACCCAATACACAACATGGAGAGTCTACTCTTGCTGCCTTTGAGATGCCCACCCCCAAAAGGGGGAGCAGAACAAACAGCAAAGATAGGAACTGCAGCTTCTGTGTCTGGCGTTGACTCTCTCTTGCAACCTCCCTCCTCAGCCATTCCAAAACCTGGCAAATGTGCACCAGCACTGGTCTATTTAAAGTTTTGCTTTTAACTCCCTCTTTGGTCTCAAGCAGAAACCGGTGTTGCAAAATATAGTCTTGGCCAGCTACTGGCCTGCCGGGGGGAGGAGGAGACCAATGAGGGTAACTGTCCCAGGTCCCAGCAATTCAAGCCTTCCAGCAGCCAGAACCCTGGGCCCTTTAAATACCTGCTGGAACCCCATGTGGTGCATTCTGAGGGCTGTAGGGTTGCCAGATGGTCTCCCAAAAAATACCAAACACAGGGGCTAAAAATGTGTTGAGCAAAAAAAAAAAAACTACCCACACCGAACATACATCCTGTGTGGCTACTACCAAGAGCCACCTCGCTGGGAACAAAGGGAGAGGCAGCAGAGCCTGCTCTGCAAAGCAGCCGCCTGCTACCCAAAGCAGAGAGAGACAGACCCCGGGGCAACCCAATGGCAGAGCGGTGGGGGGGAGGGCGACCATGGGTAGGAAGGTGACTCCCCCGTAGCCAGATCTTTGGGTGTCCCAGTGAGAAGAAGCAGAAATTCCACCTCAGTCAGTTCTGGCTGAGAGCCCATGTGAGGGCTGAAGGGGGGTGAAGGAGGATGCGGGGGCGGGATAGGAGGGAGCAGCAGTTGCACTGAGGGGGCACAGGACGATGCAGGAGATCAGGCGGGGGGGATCATGGGGCTGAGGGGAGCAAAGTTGGAGCAGAGGGAAGATGTGATGGGAGGATACAATTTTACTTTGCAAAAGCTTCACTTTCTTTTACTCCCCACTACTTTGCCTCCCTCCCTCCCAACCAGCTAGCTATTTGGCTCTTACCTTTTCTGCGTTACTCCCCCAAGCCCCTCCCGTCTCAAACTCCCTCTCATACCCCCACGCAACACCCTCTCCTGCCACCAAACTCCCTTCCAGACCCTGCCCTCCTCACCCCGTCCATCCCTATCTAGGGTTGCCAGGTGTCCGGTATTCTACCGGACAGTCTAGTTTTTGCACCCTCAGTCCAGTAAAAAAATTCAGAAAATACCAGGCATGTGCAATATCCAGTATTTTCTGTTTTTTCGGCTGGGCGCCAGACGGAAGCCTGGTGCGGGTGGGGGAGTGGCTGGGAGGCAGGGCTGGGATCGGCGCTGGGAGCCTTTGGTTGCATGCAGAAGCTGGGTGGGGATCACGGCCCCACCTCCCAGCCACTCCCCTCGCCCCTGCCTGGCTTCCGTCAGGCGCCCAGCCAGAAAAACAGAAAACACTGCACATGTCCGCTATTTTCTGAATTTTTTTTACTGGACTGAGGGCTCAAAAACTGGACTATCTGGTAGAATACCAGACACCTGGCAACCCTAGAGGGCTGGCTGCTCCCACCCTGCCCCTTCTATCTGAGGCCCTGCCCCTTCCAGGAGCACAAAGATGTCTCCTCCCCCTGCAAGACACACACACACACACACACACACACACACCCCTTGACCAAGGGCCCAGCTAGTTGGTTGGTTCCTCTGGCCAGCTAAATCAAATTTATTAGACAGAAAGAAGCAAGGGGAGGGAGCAGAAAGGGAAGAAATAAGATGGGCAAAGAGAGGAATACGCACAGTGTGAGGAGAAAGGGCAAAAAGGGTGACAAAGTCTCATATCCCTGGTGGAGGTGGGGAGTTAACCAGCATCAATGGAGGAGATGATGTCATCTAGGTCCCCCCTCTCTCTGGCCCAGTCTGGTCTGGAGGCCTTTCAGGGTTAGGAGGAGGAAGGTCCAGGGTCCCAGGAACAGTGTAGTTTGGGGTGGCATCCAAAATAGTGAAACTTGCTCATTCCCCTTATTTCCATCGGCATCACCATTGCCTCTTCCAGCTATTCCTCCCATAATTTCTTTGATGTTTCTAAGGACCCCTAAAGAAGGGTGAAATACCCCTCCCCTCATTATTTTGTCTACCACTTGGACTAGTTTCCGATACACCAGTTTGGGCTCATTCATTTCTGGTCTCACATTGTTGTTTTCCAGGCATGATCTTCACACTACCCCTGAATTATTACATCACTAAGCCCTGTGGTTTGGATTTCACCAGGTGTTGTCTCTTTTGTTCACTTTTTCCCATCAGCCTGTGTTGTTATCAGTTATTGGGACTGTGATTGGGGGCGGTCACAGAAGACCCCTTGGGGCAGCTTCCCCGTGTGCTGACAAAGCCACTGACACTCGCCACTTTGCTCTCTGGGGCTTCTCACCACCCAGTCCTGCTGGGCCAGATCTCCTGGTCTCCCTCAGCCAAGGCACAGGACTGAGATCACCACCTTCCTTCCCTCCTTTCCCCCGAAGAGCAATGCCTGGATCTGGCCCCCAAGGCATAATCTAAAACTGTTCTTATTTCAGCTAAACCTCCAAGCCAGAGGAGATCTTTTCCCCTGGGTGTGTCGTACCAGCCAAAGACAAAGAGCCTGAAAACTTTGCCTTCCTTTTGCATGGGAATTCTTTGTTTCACATTCTCCCTGTCCTTGGAAAATTACTTGGTTAAACCCTACCAGTTGGGGTGGTCAGAGGTCTTCCTAAGACCAACCACTGCTTACACTTAAAGGACAAAGGAAGCTGTTTACAGGTGAGTACCCCAACATTGAGGTACCCCAGCATTGGAAACGCTCATGCTGGCTTTCACTTGCATATTTATAACCATAAACCATTCCCTGTTCCATATCTCTAACTTTACATACACGAACGATACATACACCAAAATAAGATATACAGATCCAGCAGACTGTGACATTAAAATTGATAGGTAACATAAGATATTTTGTCCAACATCCTCGAGTTATGCATATTTGTATCCATAACTCAATTTCATAAAGCATTGGGGGGCCCCAAAACAGTCACAGTGACATTTTATGAACTTGCACTCACTGCTTTTTGTTAACCTCATAATTCGGGTAAATGTGTAGGGCCAGTTATTATAACCAGGGCTGGCAATAGATTTTGCTGGGTCCTGGGACAGGTGCAGAGGGCTTGGTTCTGGGCCCTTAGAAGGGGCAGGCCCTCAGGCAGAAGTGATGGTGCTGGGAATATCCTTCCCCACCCAGAGCTCAGCACTGCCTGGACCATACCACGTGAGGTTCTGGTGGTAATTTAAAAGGGCCCAGAGCCCCAGGTCTTTTTAAATCATTGGACCCCAAGGCCCTAATTATAAGAGTCCCTGCTACTCCTTTTAGGAAGCTGCTTCTGAATCACACTCCTTGAGGCATTAGAACCTTCTTCTAATTTCCACCCTGAATATATTCATGGCCAGTTTATACCCATTTATTCTAGGGCCAACATTGTCCCAGCACTTAAATAGCTGTTCCCCCACACTCCCTGGTGATAACCTGCCTGGTGTATTTATAAAGAGCAATCTTATCCCCTCTCAGCCTTCCATTTGCTAGGCTAACTAGCCAAGCACTTCCAGTCTCCTGTCATAAGACAGGCCCCTAATCATCCTACCTCTTCTCTGTACCTGTTCCAGTTTGAAATCATCTTTCTTGAACAAGTGTGACCAGAATGGTGCATGATATTCCAGATGAGGTCTCACCGATGCTTTCTACAATGGCATTAATACTTCCCTATCTCTGCTGGAAATCTCACACCTGATACATTCTAGGATGCATTTGCTTTATTCACAGTTCTTACTTAAGACAGGGGGCTGAACCAAAACTCCAGGTTGAAACACACACAAACTATGGGGAATTTTTTGGCTCTGGATCAAGATTTGGACTCTGAGACTCAGCTTCATCTTATTCCAATTCTTAAGACATTTAAAATATTCAGGGTGCCTATATTAGGCTTTTGATGCTTTCTCTAATGATATTGCATTGTATAGTTATCTATTGATAACAATGCTTATGAAATAGTTATGGTTCACTGACAAACTAGAACATATCACGTGAGGTCCCACAAGTATCTGTCTTGCATCTAGCACTATTCAATTAACAGTTGAAATAATGGAGTAGAGAATATGTTTATAAACTTTACAGATAGTACCACATTGGGAGGGGTTGCATGCATGTTGGAAGATGGGATTAGAATTCAAAATGATCACGATAAATTCGGGAATTGATCTGAAATCAGTAAAATATAATTTAATAGACAAATTCAAAGACTTACACTTCGGAAGCAAAAGGCAAATGAACAAATACATACTGGAGAATAAACTGCTAGGCAGTAGTACTGAAGAAAAGGACTAGGGGTTACAGTGGATCACAAAGTCAATATGAGTCAGCAGTGTGATTCTGTGGCCAAAAAGGCAAATGTAATTCTAGGATGTTCTAACAGGGTCGCGCTCACCTCTCACAAGCGCCCCCATCTGGCCAAGTGTGTTTGCCTGCACTTGGCCATTCTTCAGCCTTTTCAGCTACTCAGCTCCCTGGCCAAGTCACACTCCGTGAGAATCACAACACCTTCCAGGCTACACCTTTACCAGGGGCCCATCTTGGTGCCCTCTGTATGGTTTCTTTGTCTATTCCCCACTCAGAGATGGGGTGCCTCTAGGGCTTTCCCTCCTGGAGACAGTGTCCTCACTCTTACCTCAGAGCTCCATCACAGTTCATCCATAGTCAGCAATCTCTCACCAGCTCTCCACTTGGAGCTCTCCATGGTACTGCTACTCCCTCAGCCTGCCAGTCACCCATGGTCTTCTCTCCTTGAAATCTCTGGCAGTACTGAGCTGACTCTGGTTCTGAAGCTTCTTTTTTGGGCCTTTCTGGCCCCTGATTGGCCACTTCCTCTTGCAGACAATCTAGCCTCGACAGATTCCTCTACAGTTTGCTGGGATGGAGTGTGCCAAGGCCACAACCCTTCTGTAGGAAGTTTCTTGGCCTGGTCCATCCTGTTACAGAGGGTATGTCTACACTACCCCCCTAGTTCGAACTAGGGGGGTAATGTATGCATACCAAACTTGCTAATGAAGCCCGGGATTTGAATTTCCCGGGCTTCATTAGCATAAAGCCGGCGCCGCCATTTTTAAAAGCCGGCTTGTTCGAACCCCGTGCCGGGCGGCTACACGCGGCACGGGCTAGATAGTTCGAACTATGTAGTTATTCCGAACTATCTGTACGCCTCGTGGGTTTTGCCCACGAAAGCTCATGGTACTAGACACATATTTTTATTAGTCTGTAAAGTGCCAGGACTATTCGTTCAGAAATCTTAGTGTGCCCCGGGTTCCCAGGTTGTCATTTACTGAAACAAATAACTGATTGCCACCTTTACAAACTGGTTGCATTGGCCTAGGGCTGGCACTTTTGTATTATCCATCTAGTTACAGCCCTGAAACAAACGTCTGCCTGGGATTCCCTGTGAAATTCTTTCAGGGCCTAGTTCTAGCTCCAGCTAAACCTGTTCTCGTGCATGTGGCGGAGAAAGAGCAGGAATCCCCCTGCAATAACACCTGCAAGCTGCGGGAGGGATTGGGACCAGAACACTGTCTCCTCCCTGGGAGGAGATGGACCATGAGAGAAGCTCCTGTCCCTGCCTCTTCACCTTCTGCTCTTGTACCCCCTGCTCCCCAATTCTGCCCCTCCCCCATCCTATTTCTCTTTGAGCCTCTCTTCCACTGCCAAGATTGTTCCTGTCTGATATTGGAGACTGACCTGAGTCCCTCATCTCCCTGAAAGGTATGAGGTGACCCCACGCACAGCTGATCTATCTGAATAAAGCCTTTGGCCTCTGAGGTGATATTAAAATATTGGAAGGAGACCATATGATATAGAATCATAGAACACTAGAACTGGAAGGTACCTTGAGAGGTCATCAAGTCCAGTCCCCTGTCCTCACATCAGGACCAAGCACCATCTCGATCATCCCTGATAGATGTCTATCCAACCTGCTCTTAAATATCCCCAAAGATGGAGATTCCACAACCTCCCTAGGCAATTTATTACAGCGTCTAGCCACCCTGACAGTTAGGAAGTTTTTCCTAATGTCCAACCTAAACCTCCCTTGCTGAAATGTAAGCCCATTGCTTCTTATTCTATCCTCAGAAGCCAAGGAGAACAATTTTTCTCCCTCTTCCTTGTGACACCCTTTTAGATACTTGAAAACTACAATCATGTCCCCTCCCAGTTTTCTCCTTTCCAAACTTAACAAGCCCAATTTTTTCAGTCTTCCCTCATAGTTCATGTTCTCTAGACCTGTAATCATTTTGGTTGCTCTTCTCTGGACCTTTTCCAGTTTCTCCACATCTTTCTTGAAATGTGGTGCCCAGAACTGGATACAATACTCCAACTGAGGCTATATCAGCAGTGTGCTATCTTCACTCACACCTCCCTGCATTTCCTTTTGGTGTGGGATTTGATGAGAGAGACTTTGAAAAGGACTGCCCCTGATTTTTGTTCTGTGGAGTTGAATTAAGGATCTGTGGTTTAGCCATAAAGATGAGGTGACTAAAGACTCTCTGTTATTAATGAAGACAGTTAGGTAATATGCCTTTGCCTGCTGCACATTCAAACACTCTTGTGCCCCCAGAGGCTGGACTTTTTGGATACTGGATCAGCTCTGCTCTGCATCTTTGTTACAGCTATTGGGCCTGTCTATTGGGCTGATAGTTTGAAGAGCAGGAAGGCAATCAGGTTGGCAGGCATGGCCAGGCCTTTCAAAAAGGACTGTGTTTGAATTGCTGGCTTTAGCCCCTAAGGTCCGGTTCAATCCCACCTTCTGATAAGATTTCCCCTTCTGAATGTTAAAGAAAAGTGGTTGGGGGCACCAGATGACAAGGGGATGAGGGGCGAACAGGAAGGAAAGGCAGTATCATGCAGGGGGCTGCCGCTCCCCACCGCAAATGTTCCCCCCAAGCTGAAAGCCCACGAAGTGACTAAAGATTTAAACTTTTCTCTTTTTCGCTTCAGCTGACTCCCTCCCCTGAGGGGCGGGGCAGGGGTGTCCGTTTGGCCCCTGGCTTGGTTCTGCCCGGAAAAGTTTGACAACACGTTCTGGCTCCCTCCCCTACATTATCCAGTACTGAGTTTCCTCCTCCGAAGCGAGCGGGGGCTCCCACGCTGGTCTGCCCCGTGACAGGCGGGAGGCCGC